ACAACAATAGAAAATATAGAATATAAACTCCATTTAAACTCCACTCCTTAGCTTGGCGCCATATTGAATTTCGCGGCCGCGCCGGTAAAGGCCTGGGGACCAGGTGCTCTACCGTATCTGAAATAGCCTTCACCTGTAACTGGCCACATATCCACAGGGAGCAGAGGAGTCGAGTTTATCTGGTAAAACAAGACAAACACCATCTTACCTTGTCAATTGTAGTATATTTCATTGTAAAATCCCAATGTTCGCATTAAAAATGCATATTTATTCGTCAAAATTATCGAATATAAAACCAAAATATGAATTTTCAACATTAATATACTCCGCTGCCTTGAATTACCGTAGACTTGTACTTTCCGAAAAGCTAACGAACAATGGCCGATATACATGAAGTACAAATAAAATATCATACAATGTTTATAAACTTTATATGTTTCACGACAATTTCAAATGAAAGATATTACAATTAAATTAACAAGGTAAGATGGCGTTTGTATTGTTTTACTAGATAAACTCGACTCCTCTGCTCCCTGTGACATATCATGAGTCACGATTTTGGAACAGTTGCTATACTTACTATTTTTAGACTTTTAGGGTTAGGATTAGGATTAGGGTTAGAGTAAGGATAAGGGTTAAGATTAAGATTGCGGTTAGATTTAGGATTGGGGTTCAGGTTAAAATACAAAAGAATACAAAATTACAAAAGTCTAAAAACAGTAACTCTTCCTAAACGTGACGGGTACGTATAACGTAACTAGCCATGGCTAACTGGCCATATGTATCAGTATAGGACTATATAGGTTATTTTGAGGCAACGAGAGGATATGTGAATAAACACATATAACGTACTTATTTTTTTTACATTGCGAGATCGCGTTAATGAGTCAGAATAGAAAGAATTCGTAATGGCATATTGCCTTCGTTGTGTTGTTTTCTCTCATTTTTTGTGCTGCAAAGACATTACAGGTGAATATTAGAGAGGATCATTAAACGGAAATTGATTAGAGGGGAATATTTAATATATTCCCCGATAAGAACAAAGGAAAACGAGCAGGGTGAAAAATAAGCATTTATAAAGACTATGTATGTTGGCAACTCTGATTTATGACAGGCAGACACTTCAAGTCATCAAGGAGAGAGCTCGCAAATGTTAGATTAAAAAGATTGACAAACGTTAAACGTCATAATGAAGTGTTAAAAGTGTACATTTCCCTTGAGTAGTCCAAATTTCATACTGTGACCTTTTGTTAGGGCCTGTTTATATGGAAGCCGGGCTGGCCCGCTTAGCGAGACAGCCCGTAAGCGGGATGAATTTCTCTCGTGTTTATATGAGAAAATTTCATCCCGCTTGCCGGGACAATTTTGTTACATTGTATTGTTTTGACAGTTGTTAAAAATAGCTTGCGGCGGTATCTTTGAACTTTCATCCCGGCAACCGGGCTAGCCCGCTTGTGAGTGTTTATATGGAGAAATTTCCATCCCGGTAGGCGAGATCTCGCCTCTTTCAAGCGAGATCTCGGCAACCGGGCCAGCCCGCTTGTCCATATAAACGCACGATAATTTTTACTATAAAAATAACTACACAGCGAGATCTCGCTTACCGGGCTGTCTCGCTTAGCGGGCCAGCCCGGCTTCCATATAAACAGGCCCTTAGATTAGACACAAAAACGTTTGATATTCTATCTCTCTGGAAACTCGGAGTTACGGTTCCGGCCATGTCTTTTTATTATTCCGGCAGGAACCGAAACTCTGAAAAATCGGAGTTCCGGCCGGAACCGAGTCGTGCACCCGGCCTAATTTTGGCTTTATGGCCGAAAATTTGAGTTTTAAAATATTGCCTATTTGACAAGAATGCAAAACTTCAAGTTCATTTTTAACAAAAATAAACTATACCATTAGAAAGTTCGCATATAAGATATTTAAGTGAGTAGTATGATTTTCGTAGCCGATTTTGACTTTTTCACGTTCAAAAATGAAGAAAATCGCTAATTTATGCTAAAAGTTACTATTTTGCCAAATTTGAGCTCTTTTAACTCAAAACCGACTTGAAAATTCGTACTACTCGCTTCAATGTCCTATATATATACTTATTTGCGATCTTTCTAACGGTTAGTTTATTTTTGTGAAAAGTAAACTTGAAATTTTGCATTTTTGTCAACATACTGTAGTCATAGTAATTTAATGGGCAATATTTTCAAATTTTAAATTTTCGGCTGTAAAGCCAAAATCCGAGGTGCCAAATAAATAGTCTCCTTTATTAATATATATATACTCCAAGAAAATTCCAGTTGGCAGCTTGTAACAAAAAATGCCATCAGAATCCATTGGAAAAAACTTAATATGTAATATAACTTGGTATTTAATATGATTTTCTTTTCAGTCCTCAGAAAACGAGGCAGCCGCTCGCTCAGACAATATCTTTAACCCGACTGGCGATATATTCTGGCCATCTTTTTATGCCTGTATTGGATTTGTTGTTGTGATGTTGGTCACTGGTCTTATCTGGGAATTCTTTTGTATGGATAAATGTTACAAACGAGCAATAACAGGTAAAATATAATGAAGTTATAAATAAAGTTAGTTTAGTTTAGATTTCCTTCTGTGGTAACACTGGATCAATAAGAGATTATCCTTACTGGACCTCTAGGGAGAACAATTTAAAACTGATAGAGCTATATCCATGCAGTATAAATGAAGTTAGTTTAGGTTTCCTCCTGTAGTGACACTGGATGAATAACTAAAGAAATGATCCTTATGTCGTAAATAAGTAGACAAACATTATACATTGATAACATGAAGTATTGACTGTTTTCGCGCCTTTTCATGGACGCCATGTTGTTGTTATTCCACGCTTTATATTATCGAAAGAACCTGTATTAATCGTAACAATATACCAATAAATACTTGAAATTATGGTGCCGTGACCAGGATGAAAGAACAACAACGTCTAATAGCATCACGGAGAGCACACAGAGCACATTTAACGAAAGTTTTGAAGAAAATTACGGAACTAAAAGAAGTAGAAGACGATCAAAATGAACAGCATGCTATTGTGACACTTGGCAGTTATTTAGAGCAACTCCAACGGAAAGGACACGTACTATCAGAACTAGACAATAAGAGATTTGAACTATTCACAAAACCTGAAGATTTGGAAGCAGATATTATCGAGGCAGAAGACACACAGAGTTTTATCGCAGAGACAATTTGTACAACTAAAAATTTTATTGAGAACAAAATCAAGTCCATGAACATAAGTCAGCACGACCAAGCAGCAGGAGCGAGTAACAATATTCAACAAACGCCAGAAAGCAACCAGGCAACAAGCAGTGAGAGTGAACCTGCAGGAAATCAACCATCAACACCAGAAGAGACACAACCACAATCAAGCACAGTAAGTGAAAATTTACCTGTCAATTTAAACCAGCCACCCACTACAAGTACGTCAGTTACAAGTACAAACCCCACCATTTCGAACAGTAGTTACAGCATGAGTCGACTCCCAAAGTTAGCACTACCAACCTTTGACGGCAACCCCTTGAATTGGCAAACGTTCTGGGATTCCTTTCGCACAGCAGTACACGATAACCCGTATCTAAGCAACATACAGAAACTGAACTATTTAAGAGCCCAGTTAATTGGGGAAGCATCAAGGTCAATCGCTGGATTTCCTTTAACCGAAAATAACTATCTAGAGAGTATCAAACTATTACAAGAGAGATTTGGTCAACAACACAGCAGTGAGTGCACACATGCAAGCATTATTAAACATACCAAGCCCGACAAGTACCTTGTCTAGTCTAAAGAGTTTCTACGACACATTGGAAACACATATCCGTGCACTCGAAGCGTTAGGAAAATCACACGATTCATATGGGGACATTTTGATTCCTATAATCCATAAGAAATTGCCAGCAGACTTGATAAAAACACTTACGAGAGAACACAACACTAATGAATGGAAACTAGATGAGCTCCGAAAGGCAATACGCAGAGAAATCGACATATTAGAAGTAGGTGAAAATAACCCCTCTAAGCAACACCCAAATGAAATTTGTCCAGACCCACCTACAGCAGCATTTGCCATTGGACAATCAAAAAACTCGACATACAAGCCCCGTCATGTACCATCAACCACAGCAAAGCGAGCATGTGTTTACTGTAAAGGTTTGCATAGTCCAAATAACTGTACTGTCATAACTGACAAGAAACACAGACACAACATAGTGCGAGATTTCAAACTATGTTTCAATTGTCTTAATGATAATCACATTGTGTCCCAGTGCAAGACAAGGGGTCGATGCAAAATTTGTCATCGCAAACATCACACAAGTTTATGTTCAGCAGAAAATCCCCCACCCCCCAACCAAGATAAACAGGACCCCACACCAAATGTTCCAAACCAATCAGTAAATACAATTAATACCGCCCCAACCGAAAACATGGCCACACCCACATCCATTTCACCCGCAGCAACAACGCCCACAACCATTTCACCCTCAACAATTCAACATCTAAGTGAAAACAAACACAAGTCAACATTGTTGAAGACAGCCATCTCTCCAATTGAGTACATTGGGTCGACAGTTACTGCCCACATTTTGTTTGACGAAGGGTCTCATCGTTCATTTATCACCAGTAGCTTAGCCAGGAATGTGGGTCTAACAGCTGAACGCGAGGAAACCCTTTCCCTCTCCACATTTGGTGGGACAACCACATCAGTAAGAAGAGTAGAAGTAGGTACCATCAACTTGCAGACTCCTGTAGGAGAAAACATTGCCATTGAAGTTGCTGCCCCTTTACAAAGTTTTACTACCATTGATTTGCATAATTTGCCCCACCTTAAAGGACTGACATTTGCACACCCAATAACGAATGAGCATACCTTTGACATTGATTTATTGATTGGAGCAGATCATTATTGGAATGTCGTTGAAGATGAAATAATCAAGGGTTCTGGCCCAACAGCAGCAAAGTCAAAGATTGGTTATCTCCTGTCAGGACCCATTCCACTGTCCAACCAAACATCTGCATTAAACACCACCATTTTAAACATCATGACAGCAAGCAAGGATGATGAATTTGAATTCCGACGTTTTTGGGAGCTAGAGTCAATTGGAATTCAACCACGTGAAAAGGACGATACATCAGATTTCTTGCAACAATACCAAGACACATCTATTTCCCTGAAAGACGGAAAATACCATGCCAAATTACCGTGGAAACCCGATCAACCAATCCTACCACCCAATGCTGAAATCGCTGCGAAAAGAACAAGATCAATGGTACGACGAATGGCGAATGATCCAGAGAAGTTAAAAATGTACAACGACGTGATCATTAATCAAGAAAAACAAGGTTTCATCGAGAAAGTGGAAAACCCAAACATGAACACTCGAACATGTCACTATATTCCTCATCACGCCGTAATTAAAGAGTCGTCTACCACACCACTACGAGTCGTTTATGACTGTAGTTGCCGTAAATCTTCAGATCACGCAAGTTTAAACGATTGTTTAACAACTGGACCCCCAATCCTCAACGATTTAACAGCAATATTGCTCATATTCCGTCAGCCGAAGTACGGATTAACAGCAGATATCGAAAAGGCATTTTTAAATATTGTCCTGGATGAAGAAGATCGTGATGCTACCCGCTTCTTCTGGTTGAACGACCCGAGCGATCCAACTAGTGCCTTTGATGTTTACCGATTTAAAAGTGTGTTATTTGGGGCAACGAGTTCACCATTTATTCTAAATGCCACCCTTGATAAACACTTAAAACAATTCAATGATCCAGTAGCGAAACGTATTCGTGAAGATATTTATGTTGACGACCTTGTGTCCGGAGCCCAAGATGATGACGAAGCAGTTTCATTTTATACCAAAGCACGAACACTGATGACACCTGGTGGATTTAACTTGAGATCTTGGGCATCGAACAACCCTGTTGTCAAGACGATCGCAGCGAAAGAAAACCTTTTAAATGACAATCTGAAACCTAAAGTTCTTGGCATGCAGTGGGATACTATCAACGACACCCTCCTCTACCCCAACAGAGTGACCACATCCGAATCCAATCCCCCAACGAAACGTGAAGTATTACGTACTTCATCAAAGATATATGACCCCATTGGGTTCCTTAACCCCGTAGTCGTTAATGCGAAAATTCTGATGCAAGAGATATGGATGAGAGGGTTGCAATGGGATGAACTCTTACCACCGGAAATACAAGCGAGTTGGGAGAAACTGACTAAAGAATTACAAGCAAGCATCCATGTACAATTACCTCGTCAATACTTTCCATCAACAAATGGGTTGCCCGAGGATACAGAGTTACACATATTCGTAGATGCGAGCTTGAAAGCTTACGGTGCCGCAGCATATGTTAAATCTTCCAAAGCCAATCATTCCTCCTTTGTTATGGCAAAGTCGAGAGTTGCGCCATTGAAAAAGTTGACGTTACCCCAATTAGAACTAACGGCAGCTTCGATAGGAGCACGGTTATGCTCGTACTTGGCAAAAGTACTACAAGTTACGAACGTTTTCTTGTGGAGTGATAGCCAAATCGTCCTGCATTGGCTTCACAGTACCAAACAACTTAAACCTTACGTTGCCAGCCGAATTGCAGAAATCAAAACTCTTACATCTATCGAAAATTGGAAATACTGCCCCACAGAAGATAACCCCGCAGATTTGCTAACACGAGGCATCACCACCAACCAACTCAATGCATCAGAAATCTGGCGAACTGGACCAACTTGGTTGCTAGCAACTCCAGAGACGTGGCCATCTTGGACACCCTCAACTCACCTCTTACTAACCCAAACTGAGGATTCCACAAACGAAGAAAATGTATCGACAACACCTGAAGATCCGTACAAACAACCCGGATTCCATCATCTATTAACGGTCTCTAAATTTAGTAATCTCTCACGACTAGTGAACGTCGCAGCATACGTTTTACGGTTTGTGAAAAACTGCAAAGACAATCAAGTCAAGGAAATCGGACCTCTAACCCCACGCGAAAGGGATGAAGCAACTCGTCAGTTGATCCAGAACGCACAACAATTGACATACCATAACGAAATCAATAATCTCGCAGCGAAAAAGGCACAACGATTACCTTTAGTACGCCAACTTCGTCTATTCAAGGACAAGTTTGGCCTTCTTCGCTCTGGTGGGAGAATACACAACGCGCCCCTCGCAGAATCAACGAAATTCCCAATACTTCTACCACCGAGAAATGACTTCACGAAGCTCATAATCGTCGAAACTCATGTTCGCCAATTACACTCGGGTGTGAACGCGACACTAACAGCGCTACGTCAACGATATTGGATTCCTTCCGGACGACAACTCGTGAAGAAGATCATCAATAAATGTGTCACCTGCAGGAAGATATGCGGAAGCTCGTATAATCCTCCAGATCCACCACCATTGCCGAAAGCAAGACTTCAACAAACACGACCATTTGAAATCACAGGTGTTGATTTCACTGGAGCATTGTACGTAAAAGAATCGGGAACAGAAAATAAAGCATACATTTGTCTCTTTACGTGCGCCACCACAAGAGCTGTACATCTCGAAATTGTGTCGGACATGTCTGTACCAACGTTTATCCTTGCATTCCGTAGATTTGTTGCTCGGAAATCACTACCCAAATTAATGATGTCAGACAATGCTTCTACATACTTGTCGGCAGCGGAAGAACTGAAGAAATTGTTTGAATCACCCATACTGAAAGAGACACTCATTAGACAGAATGTACAATGGCAATTCATTCCAAAGAGAGCACCGTGGTTCGGTGGCTTTTGGGAGAGATTGATAGGACTGACGAAAACAGCTTTAAAGAAAGTACTTGGAAGAGCGTCAGTGAACTTAGTAATGCTACAAACAATCGTGGTGGAAATCGAAGCCATTTTAAACGATAGACCATTGACATACGTGTCGTCAGACGTAAAGGACCAACAACCACTTACACCATCGCACCTCTTATATGGCAGAAGAATAACAGTCCTACCAAATGAGTCCCTAGAGGAAGATGAGTTGATTGATCCGAACTTCAACGAAAATGTAGAAATCCAAAGGAACGCCAAGAGACTAGTACTACTCCTACAACACTTTGAGCAACGTTGGAGACAAGAGTATCTCACATCCTTGCGAGAATTCCATAAGAATACTGGTACAGAAAAGGAAACTATCAAAGTAGGAGACGTTGTACAAGTCCATGATGATAAATCTCGACTAACATGGAGATTAGCAGTGATCGAAAGTTTAATTCGAGGACGGGATGGACATGTGCGAGCTGCTAACATTCGAACAGCATCCGGAAAGACTAATAGACCCATAACGAAACTTTATCCTCTAGAAGTAGCAGCTAAAACAGAAGAACCAGGCCTCGTAGACAAGGATTGTGTCCAACAAGAAAATGCAGCAACCGAAATTACTCCACGACCGAAACGGACAGCCGCGTGTAAAGCAGTTGAACAAATCAGGAGATGGACCCGAGAACTTCGCGTGCCCCCGGAGGATGTCGTAAATAAGTAGACAAACATTATACATTGATAACATGAAGTATTGACTGTTTTCGCGCCTTTTCATGGACGCCATGTTGTTGTTATTCCACGCTTTATATTATCGAAAGAACCTGTATTAATCGTAACAATATACCAATAAATACTTGAAACCTTACTGGACCTCTAGAGAGAACAGTTTAGAACTGATAGAGCTATCCAGTATAAATAAAGTTATAATTAGTTTAGTTTAGGTCTCCTCCTGTAGTAACACTGGATCAATAAGAGATAATCCTTACTGGACCTCTAGGAACAACAGTTTACAACTGATAGAGCTATCCAGTATAAATATGTTTAGTTTAGGTTTCCTCCTTTACCAACACAGGATCAATAAGAGATGATTCTTACTGGACCTTTAGGGAGAACAGTTTAGAACTGACAGAGCTATCAATAAGATGGATGAATAAGATGAATGAATAAGAAATTACCTTCACTGGATCGGACCTTTAAGGGAGAACAGATTAGAACTGATAGAACTATCCAACAGATTAGAACTGATAGAACTATAGTTCTATCATTAGACTAGATTAGAACTGATAGAGCTATAGTTCTATCATTCTAACCTGTTCTCGATAGAGGTCCGGTCTTATTGATGCAATGTTACTACAGGACGAAACCTAAACTAAAGTAACTTTAATTATGCTGGATAGCTCTGTCAGTTCTAATCTGTTTTCCCTAAAGATGCAGTATGTATCATCTTTTCAAATAAAGTTAATTTAGTTTAGATTTCCTTTTGTGTATAGTAACACTGTACAGGCAAGAGAAGACTCTTACTGGACCCCTCGGACGAAAGTTTAGAAAGAACTGATAGAAAATTTAACTTTTTCTATATATTAATTGTATATAGGCTCTTCAGTTGACGTGGGTATGAACGCGACAAAGTTGGACCAAATAGAAAAGGAAATGATTGCAGACATACAGAAAATGTTCTCAACCTGGAGAGCTCAACGAGACCTCGAGATCGGGATTGCAGGACCCATGGAAATCCAGGACGTCGAACAGAATGGCGAGCAGTTTAGTATGAAACAATCGCAACAATTTCCACAACAACAGCCGGTGTCACAACAGAAACTGTAGGAGAGGAGCAGCTGATCTCGTAGATGAATATGTAAATACGTAACTTTTTCTTATTTTGTTTTCATCGTGTGTGAGCACATTTGCCCTCAGTCGTGTCTTTAATTAGCAGTGAATCACCTGGCGTTAGGGAAAGTAAGTTTCCTGGCGTGAGTCGTGGGGTTAAACAGGGGAAACTAAAGCCTGGTTAGGGACCGGTCATTATTTATGGCCGCCGGGGGTGGCACCAAAGAGAAAAGGGTTTAGTAAGTAAAGGGTTGGGTAAATGAAAAACAAAACAACTCAAAGGTTGAGTAATGAAAATTTATTGTCATTTCCAAAGCATGACTCACTGAAATATTGGAGACTGAAAAGCAATGTGAACAGTCATATGTCAATACAATATGTGAAACAATTAGAGTCACTATCTTGACATTTTCAGATTTGTTGGGAGACAAATGGTGTCTCCAAAGAAAGTACATGTGCAGACAACATGAAACTTTAGACTGCAGAAAATTTCACAAGCTGTTATCAAACTCATGTCACAGAAGTGGTAAAGGACATGTGTGACAACTGAATGGGTATTTATTTTCTAACTGATATTTGAGGTTGGGTAATCAAATTTTTTACTTTGATGGTTGGGTCAGCAAACGTTTTGCCATGAAAAACTTTTCTCTTCGGTACCACCCCCCGCCATAAATACTGACCGGTCCCTTATATGATTGTAACTGTCGTGAACGTGTCGTGAAGTGTTTGTCATGAAAGTGCGACTAACCCCAAATATGATTTTTGGTATGTGTAATATTCGGGTGATTCGAAGAAGAAATGTAATATATCTTTATAATACAAAATCCAATCTTGATCAACTCTTTCACTATCAAAGTTTGCGGATATGATGTCATTAGGTGAATTGCAAATTAGTTTTCCTTTGTTTTTTGGACCAAAAATTCACCTATGACGTCATATCTGGAAACTTTGACAGTGAAAAAGTTGATCAAGATGAGGTCTTTTACTACAAAGATACATTACATTTCGTTTTCGAATGACCCAAATATTACACATACCAAAAATCATATTTGGGGTTAGTCACACTTGAATGATTTTTATGCTTGTTTCCATACGATTGTAACTGTCGTACAATGGTTAATTTCGTACCCAGGGATCGTACAAGCAGCTGGCGGCAGTTTTAAAAAAACAAACACAGTCCCCCCTCCCCTTGATTGTTGCGAAACTGTTGCCACGCTGTCGTTTTTCTGTTTCCATTAAAACATAACAGTCACGACACGTTTTTAGCCTGTCGCAACTGTCGTCGAGATAGAACTCGAGTCTATCTCGACGACACTGTTGTAACTGTCGTGAACTGTTGCCAGCGTGTCGCGTCAAGACTTTTCTTCATGTTTTCATTTGATCGCGAACACTACTCTGACGAGAGTTACAACACGTTCGCCACAGTTACCACCATATGGAAACCAGACTTAAGACGACACTCGGAGACTACACGCCTGGTAAATTCTAACCCTTTTGAAGGATTGACTGAACTGACTTCGTGTTTAACATCGAGACAGTTCCCTCAAACATCTCGTACAAATCCTTCAAAACTTAGAATGTATCTATGCAAAATTCCTACTGTGAATCTGTGATCACAAAAACATTGACAATGTTTAACCACCAGCCTATATAACATGCATCCTTATATAGCAACCATCCATCTGCACTGTATAGACTAACAATTCACCATAAAGGCTAAACAAAACAACACTTTTTCGCACCAATACGCACTGTATAAACACTTTTAAATATGGACATGTTTAATAGTCTAATAACCATTTTCAGTTAACATTAAAATGAGCTCGTTTAAGACCGAGTTTGATATTTTTGCTTTTATTCGAGACCAAACGTTTAGGTTCATGTCTTTTCTGCATTTTGGCAATTCTGTTTTTATTTAATAGTCTAATATTTCATACATTTCTATTGCCTTTCTATTAAATATTGTGCGGTACCAAAATTTCACAACTCAATACAATTATTACACTACAGCATTTACAAAATTGTTTAAATCCTAGCTAGATTGGCAGTTATAGTGAGCGCCCCATAAGAACGCTTTGCCGTATCTTGATGTCAGAGCCTCCTTAAGTTCGTTGCCATGGTCACGGTCACGTATTTCAGCCACCACTTTGACCTGAATAGAAAACAGGATGGATGCGAAAATTCAGTCTGGGGGAACGTGGAAACAATGTTTCCTAGCCATGTTTCCCAAAGGTGGACAAACCAGGAAACATTGTTCCCTAGCCATGTTTCCCGAAGGTGGACAAACCAGGAAACATTGTTTCCTAGCCATGTTTCCCGAAGGTGGGCAAACCAGGAAACATTGTTTCGTAGCCATGTTTCCCGAAGGTGGACAAACCAGGAAACATTGTTTCCTAGCCATGTTTCCCAAAGGTGGGCAAACCAGGAAACATTGTTTCCTAGCCATGTTTCCCGAAGGTAGACCAAACAGGGAACATTGTTTCCTAGCCATGTTTCCCGAAGGTGGACAAACCAGGAACCATTGTTTTATAATGACAACAAATTTAAAAGTTTGTTCAATTAGGAATTTCTAAAAAAATATATAAAGCATTGAATAGCCATACCTGGACACTGAATATACTGGACGTCAACCACGCACGTTCATGAAATATATCTTTCACACTAAAAAAAGCAGTATATGCATATTAAACCATATATAACTTAACCATACTGAATAATTCCAAACGCACTGAAACAGACCAATAGCGACGGTGGTGAAGGTACATTTACCTCGCTCCAATATTAGCCAGCAATCTTGTCAACTCCGCAATACCACCAGGCCTGTCACTCACTGTCACTACAAATCGAACCAGACGACCGTCCGCTGCCAGACCTCGCTCTAAACACCTCCCTAGTACCGTAGAGTCAATATTCCCTCCGCAAAGTGCTATCACAACTCTACAAAATATATACAAGCTTAGTACTTAGTCCCGTACAGAGGAACAACTTTTCCTTGTGACAAGTTGCGTCCTTGACGACTTTTATTTGCTTGTGTGTACAGCAAAAATTTGACCATTTTTCTTTGCCAAGGAACATTGTTCCAAAGCTAGTCGTGTCAGCTTTTGGTCAAAGAAAATATGTTCGTGTGTGCGGCCGCCAAGGAAAACTTGACAGTGTATAAGAAATGATATTTGCTTTGTTGGTGTAATGTACTCAGGTGAATAAGACGCTTGTGTGATGTTACTCTGAATGTATATCCACACCGGGCAGGCTTGAAAAATATGCCTGGCCACGGTGGGAATCGAACCTACGACCTTTGGAATACTAGCCCAATGCTCTGCCAACTGAGCTACGCGGTCAGGTCGGTTCGAGTATGCGATATTTCGGAACTGAGTCTAGTTCCTTCGATATCAATGTAATCTAATTGGGCTAGTATTCCAAAGGTCGTAGGTTCGATTCCCACCGTGGCCAGGCATATTTTTCAAGCCTGCCCGGTGTGGATATACACTCAGAGTAACATCACACAAGCATGTATAAGAAATATTTCTATGGTTTTTGCAAACAAAAGGCGGCATTGACGTGAGACAAAATGTTGGCTGCATTCCGTACATGCACACGATCGTGGTTTGTGTCTGAAGTACCTGAAAAGATAGCTTATTGTAGAATACTAAGAACTGTACCTCTTGCCTTTCAATTCGGGTACTAGACCCGCAAGGCAGGCGGCTAGACCTGTCGAGCCCGCGCCTTCTATTGTCGCTTTCTCTTCTTCCACCAATCGCAACACAGCTAGAGCTATGTACTCTTCACTGAGAAAAATAAACGAATACCAAAATATCAGTACAAAAATATGTCTACTTAATGTGCCCCACATTTGCGCAGTGACAATGGCCAATTTTAATGAATTGATGGAGTTATCAAACACTGCAGGTTATTCAAACACCGCAAGCTAGTATTTCGGTTTCCTCCTGTAGTGGCACTGGACACAGAAGGGATGGTCCTTACTGGACCTCTAGAGAGAACAGTTTAGAACTGTTCAAGCAGGTGTTCAAGTTATCCTTTCACGAAGTTTCGAATCTTACCTGACAGTAATCATTCTATCTATCAATTGATTAGCGGTGTGAAATGCATTGTTGCCAACTTTTGAAACGCATAGACCTGAATGAAACGAGATATATAACCTCTATGAAGCAGCCAAATCGCACCAGATGGTTCTGTTAATGACTTCAGAAATGTTATTAACACTTATATGCCTGGGCAAGCGTTATTAACTAGTTAATCTAAAACAATTAAACTTAGTTCTGTAAAATTTACCATCAGCTAAAGTCATCGCCTGGTTCACATCAATCTTTACAGGTTTCCCAGCTTTCATTGCCGCGGTAAAACTTGGACATCTCTCCGACTCCACGCCCTTGAAAAATGCATATCCCTTGAAATCTTTTCAAAGTGCATAGCTAATTTAGGTTTTTTTCTAAATCTAGCCCTGTTTTCTGCTGTAGTAACACTGAACCAAAAAGGAATGATCAGTAATTGTCCTTTATGCACCAAATTTTCATGCAGTAAAACTAAATATAATCGTTTTCTAATGGTATATTTTCTTTTTGATAAAATCCAAGGCTAGGACTCACAATAACTAGAGTACTAGGACTCAATGTCTTTACAGCTACAGCGACCCCAGCAATCAAACCACCACCTCCGACTGGAATTATTACAGCTTCGACATCCTTGACTTGTTCCATGATCTCGAGACCCATGGTGCCTGCACCCGCGAGAATATTGGGATGGTCATATCTAAAGGCAAGGGTGGGTTGACTACAAAATTTTTGTAGTTCGCTATAACTACAGCTACTTCAAAAATATGTAGTCAGCTACAACTACTGCTACTTTTGAACAAAGGTAGTTCGCTACTGACTACAGCTACTGCTTAAAAAATGTAGCGAACTATTTTGCTATTTCGCTACTCTATATTTTTTAGTTTTACGGTATTTGGAGCATCCACTAGTTCAGGGTGTAATATAACCTATAACGGATCGACTTATGAGTTCTTATGAGTAGCAACAGTAAACAAAAAGGGTCAAAGCAACATTTTTATAAGCACTACAGTGTTCAGGAGTGCCACTTTTCATTGCGCTAAAATAATCTTTACTGTATAAAATAATCTTTTAAGCAAACCGTGTCTTATCATCATTCTATTCTATGAACGGTTGCTAACAATTTTAAAAAGTAGCGAATAGCGATTCACTGTTTGAAAAGTAGTCGACTATTTGGCTACTTTTAGGCAAAATGTAGTTCGCTACAACCACAACTACTGTTTTAAAAAAGTAGTCAAAAACTACTGGCTACTTGAAAATTGTAGTTCGCTACAGTAGCGAACTACAACTACTTCGCTACTACCCACCCTTGTCTAAAGGTATGGTGTATATAGCTATTTCAATTAAGGTTGTCCCTGATTCCCTGAGCAAAGCGGAAAAGTCGAATACGAGTGCGAAAGGCTGCTGGGAATCGCTAAAAATTAATTAATTTTTTAGCGATTCCCAGCAAGTCTTTCGCGCTCATAGAGAGTACCAAAGCCCCGCTCAAACGACGATGAGAGTTGATGGGAGTGACTGCCAACTCTCACTGACTTTGAGCTGGGGGTGGGGGTGGCTGGTAGCCTGGTATTGAGATGAACCTTCCTAGAGGTGTTTGGGGGCATGTCCCCAAATTTTTTTGAAAATTACAAGCCCAGAAAGTGCATTTCCAGCTATTGCCCACAATAATTTTGTTTAAAGTAACCATGTGTATATGGCCTGAAGATAGGCAGACATATTTCTGTCAAGTTTCAAGCATTACTTTGTTTGCCTCGGTGTTTTAACCCATTGAGTGGCAGCTAGCACTATATCCCCCTGATGAGTAAAAAGATAGGCTTACCCATTAATATATTGCAATCCATTTGCTTTGCACATTTTAAACGCTATGTCTTTTGACTACAGAGAGAGAGAATATTATCACTGTAATTTGTTTAATCAACCATTTACCAAAGTAACTATGTAAGCAGTCAATCAAGAAATAAACCTATTAACTGATTAAAGCTAATTAATCCATAACAAACTAATTAACAGTGGAGATAACAAATTATTATCCAATCAACTAATTAACCAAGTAACTATATATGTTACTCATTACCATTATAACAATGAAATTATAATGAATGAATGTATTGTTATAACATAAGCGAACAAATTAATCTAGTAACTTTCTAAATCTACTAATGAACACTACTTAGCTGATAAATGAACTTTTGAGCTATTTTGTGACCATATATCTTATACATAAATATTATAACCAATCAAATTAGAATCAATGTATATCGATCATAATTATCAGTGAATAAGATTATCAATCATTTAAAGCAATCGCTTACATCAATCAGATCAGAACCTTGTACATGAACATTTGCTCCATACTTCCGACACGAAGCAACTTTGTTAATTGGTGCATTTGTTGGCATTACCACGGTAACTGGAATACCAAGTTGTTGACCATGGTATGACAGAGCTAAAGCGTGGTTGCCTGCCGAGGCTGCAATCACACCTTTTTTCTTTTGCTCCTGAAATAGAAGGTTTGAAATACAGTGAAGGACACAGCAAAGTGTCCGCATCAGTCTGTATTACTGAGAGGTGTCTGTATTAGAGAAGTATTTGTATTAGAAAGTGTTTGTATTAGAGAAGTGTCTGTATTAGAGAGGTATCTGTATTAGTGAGGTGTATGTACTATTAGAGAGGTGTCTGTACAGAGCCTGAAATAATTTTTAAATTTGTCCGGCAAAACTTCCAAGCAAAATGAAATTTGACCAGAAATTTTCAAATTTGGTCGGAAATTTTTTAGTTTAGTTTGATCCCCTCCGTTGAGTAAATTCTGTCAAGCATGCAGTAAATCACTCTACTTGTAATAAACAGCCTATTTAACTGTCCTGATGAAGGGCCTTTGCTCGAAACGTCGAGGAAACGCATTCTTTATCTTCCAGGTCATCAAATTAACAACAATGAAAGCAGTCACTCTATTAGAGAGGTATCTGTATTAGAGAGGTATCTGTATTAGAGAGGTATCTGTATTAGAGAGGTATCTGTATTAGAGAGGTATCTGTATTAGAGAGGTATCTGTATTAGAGAGGTATCTGTATTAGAGAGGTGTTTGTGTTAAAGAGGTATCTGTATTAGAGAGGTATCTGTATTAGAGAGGTATCTGTATTAGAGAGGTGTTTGTATTAGAGAGGTGTGTATATTAGAGAGGTATCTATATTAGCGAGGTATCTATATTAGAGAGGCATCTATATTAAAGAGGTTTGTGTATTAAAGAGGTATCTATATTAGAGAGGCATCTGTATTAAAGAGGTTTGTGTATTAAAGAGGTATCTGTATTAGAGAGGTATCTGTTTAGAGAGGTATCTGTATTAAAGAGGTACCTATATTAAAGAAAAGAGGTATCTGTATTAGAGAGGTATCTGTATTAAAGAGGCTTGTGTATTAGAGAGATGTCCATATTAGAGAGATACACATATCAGAGAGGTTTTGTAGTTGGAAATTTCGAGTGTAAATATTTATACATTTGCAGAGCAGTTGCAGAAAAATGCAACTTTAGGCCATCTGGCAGGAATAGAACCTGTGGCCCTGTGATTCTGGTACAGGGATGCACAATTATGTCAATTAGTTATCAAGTGTAGATACCCCAAATCCTGACATTGATAATTAAGCTATTACTATAACATATTCATACATCCGACAACATGATGAGTGTGTTTCTTGCTCCTCGTTCCTTGAAACTAAAAAAATGCAAATTGAAATAAATTTTAATGCCAATATGCTCCCCTGACAAATAAAATTGTTGGCGTTAGACAAATTAAAGTAACAGTCGGGTAGAGGTGACATCAGGATGTATTGCAGCTTCATTGGTTAACGAAAGACATGGAGAGTGCATTTAATGGCTCACTGACCTTCCTGTATGTAAAAGATAGTCTTTTTTGAAGTACACCTGCATCCCAAGCGATTCTGACATTTTGGAAAGCTGTTAAATATATTTCAATAAAAATGGTAAATTTTGAATAAGATAAGATAAAATCATATATCTACATGAAATTATTGAGATTGATAGGGTTAGGATTTAAGGTTACTGTAACTCTGCCTTAGGGTTAAGCTTTGGATTATTTGGTAAAGGGTTGGATAAGGGAAAATTAGGTTTTCTATGTGACACACCCCATATCAACCCTTACCCTACCCTACCCCTTACCATTTGTTTAATGTTTACATTCTTTGCATAATTGCAAGTGATATGTTAATTTTGTAAACTGTTCTTTATACTAAAAATTTTTAAATTTCTAGTAAAGAATTTAAGTAAGTCAAGTAAACTCTCTATTCGATTACGTCAAATAAAGTTGATTTTAAAAATTGGACTTTGGTTTTATTATGCAACACGTCAATTTGGTTTACACGTCGACAAAAATAATTGCACTGGAGCAAACGCTTCCTATCAAATTTATTTTATCGAAATAAACCTAAATTCTAGCAGCAAAAATCCACAATTTTATAAGCTAAAACATAGGTATTTTTGTAAAATAATAAAATTATCAAAAGTTACAAAATATTATTCTAATTTGAAATAAAGTAACAAAAAAAATATATAAAATGTAAATTAGAAAAATATTCGTTTTAAAACACCGTTCGAATTTCAGATGTAAAAAATCAGTTCAAAGGTTAACTAATGTTTGCTATTGGTATAAAACCGCTACATACACTACATATTGTATGCGATTAATGTAGCGGTTTTTATCAAAACAGTTGTATTAAAACTTATAAAACAGAACTTTGCATTGTAAACTTATTGTGCAATTATTCTATCAATGACTATGCAGATTATTATATAACTTTAAACTGTATGTCTGTCAGGTGTATAAAATATTTATACAATATTTAACAGGAGAATGACCCACCTCACAAGGGGTTTGAGGTACCCCTTCTCTAATTCTATACGGTGCTGCAGATACATCTGCAAAAGTTACACGGACCGGCTCGGTGGGATCTGTCACGTTCGTTGTGGTAGTGTCAGGTAGCGTATTCTTATTTGCCATTGTTGAACTTGAAAATATACTGATTCCTTCTACCAAACTGTCATACTCTAAAACAGCTATTGCACAATGTAGACCAGATAAATGCGGTAGAATAGCGTCGGCTGTTGTTGTTGTGCTACGCTGTCACAACTTGTCACCTTGTACAAGGCACAGCCATTTAATATTTGATACTATAACGTTTGTGCCCGAGGAATATTAATAATTGAACCGGCAAAATTCGCGCGCGAGACGCCACGTTGTGCGCAATCTCGTTCCCAGAGTATGCCTGTTCGCGGGTTAGGTTGTGGCATGCCACAACCTAACCCGCGAACAGGCATACTCTGGGAACGAGATTGCGTTGTGCGCGAAAGAAAAGCAGAAAGTATTGACAAGAAAGTATTGAAAGTATTTTAATTAAGCAAGCAAACTATGTCTCAAATTTATAGTAGTATGGCTCAATTCTATTATTTGCCTCCAAATACAAGACTAACTACATATAATAAAAGAATTAACATTATTTTACACGTCTGATACATATTATTAACTGCACGATCAGAGACTGCCCGGGGGGGACTTCTTAGGAAGGCTGTAAAGGGTGGGGGGTTCACTCGTTCCCAGCATTTTATAATGACTCGCTAATAACTCAATTATATAACTTTTTTCATTGTTTTTGTTTATTTATTTTATATTTATTTACAGTATTTATTTGGACATGAAGTGCTCTTCTAACAAATCATACAAAATGTGAGATTTTATTGACAAATTATCATGTCTATCAAATTTTAAACCAGTATATTGATGGGCCAATGATTTCATGGCAAAGTCAAAATTTGACTTTTATATGGATTGTGAATTATTGATAGAAGCAGAAAAAGATTGGATTAAATCAGTACTGGAACAATATAGAGTTTCCTACACTCGTGGTTTTATACCTGACGAAGATCCACTGGTAATAATATTTAATTACTTAATTAATAATAATTTGTTATATTTATTTATTTAACTACCGGAAAGCAACCATATTAAAGGTGATCTACAGTCCGATCTGCGCATGTGCACAAATGAGCCCACTTTTTATGATACAAACAGTTTAACTATGTTTTGAGTTCTTGAAAAGCTTGATTGTTGTTTCTTGATCATTTATTATACTCTAGAAGCTTGAAAATAGAAATAGTTGTCGAATAAAGCTCAATATTTTGGACACAAAAATGTAAACAAAGGCTTTGTTTACATACGGACTGTAGATCACCTTTAAAAATATAAAGCCCTGAGCTTATACAGTTATATATAAAGTACTCGATTGTAAGCATTTTTTGATGGGCTTTGTAAACTGTAAACGAAAAAATATAAACAATTTAACATACAGTGTCAGTCTATATATACAGTAGTCTATATAGAACAAATTATGTAACATATTATAATACTGTGAATATGTAATTAATTGTCACTTGTCTGAATTGTTGGAATCCCCGTTGATACGTTAATAAATACCTGTCCAATAATAAGCTCATGGACTTACACTCGGAGGGGCTTATATTTGGGGGGGGGGCTTATATTCTCAGGTTATGGTCACTGTGATTGCTCAATTAAGACTCTCCCCTTTCAATATGAGTAAAATCGCACAGTGTTAAAATTGTAGAATAAAATTGCAGTTTAATATACTAGGTTAATCACAACATATTTAAGTTCAGTTATTCTTGATGAATTAATGAATCCATAGTATTACCCATTAACTTTAATAAAGGTGCATTGCGCCCTAATTAATCCTACTTTATTATATTTTACTCTGTCCAACGCCAGACGATTTTAATCGTCAAGGGGAAATATTAATTAGCGCTGGTGCTTAGTGGGTTATTATTTATCCATGTATCAAAACCCACTCCTGTCAACATATTTCACTGCAGGGAGGAAGTCAAAGTCCCCTATAGAGAAAACTGACCCTGTAAAATTCTGACCATCCTGTCATAAATACATATATATTTTTTATTCCCAATTTTGTAGCTTGAGTTTAAAGATCCATATTTCTCCCCATGGGATGAGATAGTCAAAGACTTAGCTCATCTTATTCAATGTGGAAAGCTTCGTGAAGCTGTGGAAAATGTGAGTTATTAATTTTGTTCCACCCTCGACGAATCTCGATCTTCTTAGCAATAAGCAATTATCATGCAGCGAATGGCAGTGTTGTAACGAGTCGAGTCATTGACTCTGACTCGAGTCAACTCGAGTCGCTATTTTCAGCGACTCGACTTGAGTCCAAAACGAAAAATGACTCGACTCGACTCGAGTCAACAGCCCCAAATGACTCGACTCGGACTCGACTTGCTGATTTTGCTGTAAATGACTCGAGTCAACTCAGCTACAACTTGTACAGAGTAAATTCATCACAATTATTGTGATTGTATTGCTTGGGAAGAACAATGAGCCCTGTAAACAATGAGAACTTTGAAACTTTATAAGAAAATATATGGGATTTGCATAGAATATATTCCTGACGGGCATATACCTATATTACATTCCTGTTTTTAGAAACAACGCTAGTGCCACAGTTTTTAAAATTGAGTTTCAAAATTTTTCGTCCTTATACTAATTCTGACAGGCTATTTTCATTTTTAGTATTTATGAAGGGCTATATAATTTCAAATTAACTTACAAAGCGTTGTTAATTAAAGTCTATTCTTTGTTAATTCTGACTCCAGTTGCAACTTTTGCTAGTTGTATGTACGTGCACTCGATCAGCAGGCATGATGAGACATCTCATGTGGTTGTACTTAATATTGACTAAAACTGTGATATTGGCACAGCCTATAGCTGCCCAGATACTGTTATTAAATGACTAAAGTAATTAGTTTAAAATGCAAATTTGATTACTAATTTCCGACTGCAAGCTAGGGTAGCTCAACTCAAGTCTAGAAATTGACTCGACTCGACTTAAATCAGTGACTCGACTTGACTCGAGTGAAGCCGCTGACTCGAGTGAAGCCGCTGACTCGACTCGACTCGAGTGAAGCCACTGACTCGACTCGATCAAAAACTGAAATGACTCGACTCGTGACTCGACCTTCGAGTGACTCGACTCGACTCGTGACTCGACCTGTAGGTGACTCGTTACAACACTGGCAAATGGTGCAATAGTCGATCAATCTGCAGAGAGATACACATATCTGATTTTGCAAGCAACTGTGAACTGTAAACGTTTTTCTGTGTTGTTACTTTTCATATTTCCATTTGAAACGACCAACTGTATACAAATGGGGGAAAGTGTAATTCTTACAAACAATTAGCCAATAGTAGTATCAGGGTTAGGAAATCGTATTAATTTGTTGTATTACGTGTAGCAGTCTTGTATTGGAGACAACTATATATAAATGCTGCAATGCTTTGTCTACTGTAAAACCACCAATTGTCCTTCACATTCAGATGCCATTGTTAGATCATACTAAACTGGGTGGTGAACAAGACTGGGATAGAGCAAATTTGGTTCTCTCGGCGATTGGAAATGGATATGTCTGGCAAAATGGTGAAGACGATCCTGTCAAGGTAATAATTGCGAATCATAATAAACCTATTGAGCACTTTCCCTTCAGAAGTAAAATTATTTGGCATTAGACAGAGTAAAGTATTAAAGTACGAAGCCCTGGTGCATTAACCCATTGAGTCGCATTGCGCTCTGATGCACCCTACTTTATTATTTTACTCTGTCTAACACTGGTCAGATTATTTTACTCTAATGCCAGACAATTTTACTCGTCAAGGAGAGAGCGCTTGCGCTTAATGGGTTAAGGGCATGAAAATGGCCCCTTATATGTAGTTGATTATAATGGAGTGTGATGACACTCTAGACACTCAGGTTTCAGTATATCATATTTTAATATTTATTATAATTAACACACATTATGCAAGGCTGGCTTACAACATAACTAACTGGATTACAGATCCCAAATTACCACTATATCTTATCTAGTAATCACTATCATCAGAAGTTATTTTGTGACCTACAGTAGTTGCATCACTCAATGATTGATGGTAACTCTTAAATGCACCCATTTTTATTTATTTTTTTTTCTTATTTTTAGGTTATCCCAAAATGTTTGGCAGTGCCGTGGGTTTCAGTGGCAGAACACTCGGGTGAGAGGGACGATCCATCACAATGCTTTATTCATCTGATGTAAATAACTAAATGAATCAGTGTCTAGGTGAACTAGCCAGGAATTCAGGGCTTGATAAACTGGGTGGGGTACAGGGGGCCATGTGTTCCTCCTAACCTAAAGTAAAAGGGGGTGCAAGGTTGGTGCCAATATATCCTTATCATATCCATTTTTTGTTTGGAAAGGCACTATATCTTGGCTAGTACCACCCTAAACCAACTGGTTGCCCAGAATGCTGCTACCTGTAACTTTCTCTACAGTGCCTTTTTTAAGGAATTTTCACTGGGGGGACAAAACAGGGAAAAAAGGCGGAACGAAAAATATGAGCCGTCGAGGTTTGGCGAACTCACGAGTCTGAAGAGAGATTTTGTAAAACTTTAATTTATTAACTTCAGCTATATTTTACTTTAAACAATAACTTCAACTCTTTGTAGCTATAGTCGTACAGCTATAACCAGTGGCGTAGCCAAACCTTAATTTTGCGAGGGAGGGGGGGGCGAACTTCAGGCCAAATGCGTGAGACTGTCTAGGAGGGTCTGGGGTCCGGAAAATTTTGAAATCTAGGGTCCCTGAATTGCGATTTCGGGGGTAAAATTTAGCAGAATTCCGAAGATTATAAAGTACATCGAAGTCATGAATTTTTGCAGACATTTCTACTCGGAATTAAATAAATTGGAAAAGTCACCTTGAAAAATAGGAGGAGGGGTCAGTGTCACCTTATTTCCTCTCTGTGATCTGGGGGGGGGGATCCCAATGTGATTTTGATCAGAAATGTTGCATTTAAATCATTTTAGGTTCTATGAGACACCATTTCCACATTCTCAAAATTGTGTTGCTTTTCATACGATACAGAATAAGTCTGAGAAGAAATATTCATGCTATGATGATGCATACATGTATTTAACAGTTAAAAATCTAAACTAAATCATTCTAATTTCTTCTTGGAACCATATCTACAACTGCTTTAACGAGATTTTACAAATCAAGTTCCTCCAGTATATCGTCTTTTTCCTCAGTCGAGACGTACTTAATCAGTTTCAGCTTCGAGCATGTAACGTGTACTCCCCCCCCCCCAATTTCTCTACGGATTTAGCCTTTCTCAGAGAATGGTTTTTGTGGCGATTGGGGGGGCTCTTAATATAACTTGATATTTTTAAGAAAAAAATTTTGCAATTAAACCTCCCAAAGCAAAAAAAACACAACACCTCTGCGGAGGAGAGTGCTAGGAAATAGTCGCAAGGCTTGGAAAGGTTAGCATTTTATCGGATTGTTTGCATGAAATCTATCGCTATTATGAAATACTCGGTGAAGAACAATATGAATTACACACAAGATGGCTGTGGAGGAGGCTATGGAAGGGCGTATTAATCTCATTATCAAGTAACTCAACTGCAATTCTGACAGCAATCATGAGCAATTCTGCTTCGCACTTCGGGGGCAGAAATGGCTTTACTGGGGGGGGGGGGCAAATTCTTTCCCTGGGGGGCAATTGCCCCCCCCCCCAGATATATAGTTAAAAAAGGCACTGTTTCTCTACTGATTATATGCACTTGGTCGACAGTCACACCCTGAACCATATAAACCAAGTCTCGATGAGGCATAAAAAAAAATACCTGTGGTTCCGGTTCCCGACCAACCTTATTTTTTTCTGCCGACTCTATTATTTTTTTCAACGCGATTGACCGTGCAACCCTATTTTCTCCAGGTGCATGCATGGTTGAGGGCTGCTCATACAGCATGCCAAAATGGCATCTGTTGTCACACTAATTATTGAACCAAATTGCCTAAATTCGTCCATAGGAAATACACATCTCTAGTTAATATTGATGGGACTCTACTGCAAATCACCCAGCAAAAAAAACGCCAAAACCATGAAAAAAATATTTAAAAAAAAAATTATTTCCGACCTACCGACCCTAATTTTTTCACGATATGAAACCGGAACCACAGGTATTTTTTTTTACGCCTAACCTAAAGCAAAAGGGGGTGCAAGGTTGGTGCCAATATATCCCTATCATATCCATTTTTTGTTTGGAAAGGCACTATATCCTAGTACCACCCTAAACCAACTGCTTCCCCAGAATGCTGCTACCTGTAGCTTTCTCTACTGATTAGATGCATTTGGTCGACAGTCACACCCTGAACCATATAAACCAAGTCTCGATGAGCACACCTCCCCCACCCCCTCCCTTCCCAGTTCTCACAGGATCCATCCCTGGATAGAATAACGGTGATGGTTCTAGGAACAAATCTGGGGCTTGATATTTCCTGATACAGTAGTTCATCTAATGCTCATGAATTTATAGGATGGTTGGAATTTTGTGTCGTATTTTACACGCAGACAAATTGTCAGACAAGCTACAGTATCTTAGCCCAAGTTCCTTCACTGACAGGCGGATTATCTACGGTTGTCCTTTGTACGAATTGGGTGGTGGGAACCATCCATTATCGGGTGGTTACTGGTTATATATACCTTTAATATATTTACATCCTAATATTTTATATTTTGCAGGTGCTTGTCCTGTAATTGGCCATTGGAATGGAATGCTTAATAACTGGAGGATCAAAGATAAGACAAGGTAAATGTGGACTTTAACTTTAAGGGGCTGTTTATGGGCAATTCCACATGAGAGCTGAGAAAACACCAAAAATTTAGACCAGGAGACTTTGATAAAAACTACAAATTTGTGGAGTACATACTTTATGTTTTTATTGATCGGAAATCATTATGAACCGTCTTAAGAAACCTGGACAGGCCTAGATTTAATATGAATATGTGAAGTATTCGTACTATGTAACGTCCCCAGCGAAGAAGTGTAATGTCCGCAACAGCTCATTTGTCTTCTTGGTAAAAACAGAAAAAATAACTAGAAATACAATATTGATATTTGCAAACTCAAATAGTTCCCCTAAACGTTTTCATTTCATGGGAAAGTACGATCACACATTGTTGCCAAATACACATGGTTCATTTTCGTGACATCCGCAATGCATATATTTCCTTTAATTTAAGAAGAACTAAAGTGAAAACATTGGGATTGTACCAGTGGCATTTTTCTTTTACCATGTACAGTACCTACAAAGACATAGCATTACAGTTTTTTTGCTTTTAAGCTATATTGAAAAATATCCTTATTATTTTGTCCCAATGGCAATGTAACGTCTGTAACAAAGAAATGCTCTTACTTGTATATGCATGAACTTGGTTAGCCGCACTGAGAGGTTAGCAAGCCAAAATCGTCCGAAATTAAAACTTGTTTTCAAGTGAATAGTGCAAGGCCAAGGGTCATTTGCAAAAGTCAAATTCATGCTTATAATAACACCAATTTAAGAAATAAAAAGTTTTATCCAGAAAAATATCCATTTCAGTTAATATCATGATTGTCTGGTAAACGAGGTGTTTTTGCTAGCCTGGTTACCTGGATGGTGTCTAATTTACATGGTCTGGACCAATTTCAGCCCAGCTAACCTGGTGTCCTAAGACTCAAGTGAGATCCCAGCCACACGGCTCGCCTCATGCGTGGCAGACTGGCAATTGGCAAACCAGTCTCACATAAAGACTTTAACTAAAAGAGCCCCTTCTTGTTCTTTATACTTTTTATTGTCTTTTTTCTATGACATTAACAGACCCTTGGATATAGAGTAAGTATCGCTTGCTTTTGCAGCGTGTGAGCATAAGCAAAAGCACGATTATTTGTCATGGAGCATTTGTCAGTTTTTGTAATTCATATACTGTTTATGTATGATATCTTACAGTAATATAGATACACAGTTTGTATTCACTGGGTCAAAAGATGAATTTTGGTTTTGTGCCGTTACGTGGCAGTTAGAACTGCACGCTGTACCTGGTATTAAGGTAGCTTAATTAAACTCTATTAATTACTGAATTAATCTATTAAACTAAGTAACTTTCTAACTGACTAACTAAACTGAAATTACTGAATAATCTTTCGAGTGTCAATTTTTCTTTTACTTCGTTTAGAGCGTGGTGGCAGCACAAAAGGTACAGTACTGTACGTTCCTTAACCGATTATTACTTTTGGTAATATCAGTTTAAATTTTAATTACTAATCGCTCAGAGGATAAGGGGCTGATTAATACATGGGAATTTTTCAGCCCGGGCTGAATTTCAACCCGGTTAAATTCTATTCTATATCTATAAAAAAACCTCATCTTGGTCAACTTTTTCACTGTCAAAGTTTCCAGATATGATGTCATTAAGTGAATTTTTAGTACAAAAAACAAAGGAAAACTAATTTGCAATTCACCTAATGACATCATATCCGGAAACTTTGACAGTGAAAAAGTTGATCAAGATGGAATTTTTTATTATAACTATATATTACATTTCTTCTTCGAGTGACCCAAATATTACACATACAAAAAATCATATTTGGGGTTAGTCGCACTTTTAACCAAGCTGAAATTGTTTCATGATTACATGGCAAAGTTTAGCCCGGATGAGTTAGGATTTCAGTTTAAACCGGGGTGAAATCTCAGCCCGGGATGAAACGACCAAGTCGCAAAAAGGAGCTATTCCGCTTCTTCGAAGAATTTAAAATATTGTTCATATCTATTATTTGACTTCGGCGAGACGTGGTTGCATTTAAAAATACAACAGACAGAAATAAAGCCACTTAAACGCTGTTTTTTCAACCCGCGTTGAAATGTCCCGTCGATCACATGACGAGTTTCAAGCCGGTCAACCGGGATGAAATTTTCAGCCCGGGTAGTTTCAAATTTTGCTCTCTGAAACAATAAGGGAGGAGGGGGTGGGGGGAAAGAGAGGCACATTGATAATAGAGGTTTGAAAAGGGGGAATAAGACCCCTTTCCGAACTACATAATAAGGCATGGCTCTTACTAGAGTTACTAGAGACAAAATGTTATTCGTGCACGTAGGTTACTATGTAATATGTCATCTTCCTAGGCTGTGACAGATAATAATTACGAGTTACTACAGTCATGTTTGGTCACTATACGGAAAACAATCGAGCAATTGAAGGCAACGTTGGAAAGAATGTTTGGTAATGTTAAATAGGCAATTCCAGCTATAGACTAAATTTTGATCTACGCCAGAAGAACGAAATCCATCACCACAGCTAGAAAGAGCATGTTAGAATTAGTAAAACTGCAAAGATTGGTTGCGAAATGTTGTAAAATGAGGAAAATATTGTCCTGCGAAATTTGCCAATTTTATATTAATTTCTTTTATGCGCGGGAAAATGCACCACATTTGGGCTGAAAGTGGTGCATTTTCCCGTGCGTAATACAAATTAATACAAAATTTGCAAATTTCGTACGGCTATATTTTCCGCATTTTACAACATGTCGCAACCAAACTTTGCAATTTTACTTATTGTAACATGCTCTTTCTTGCTGTGGTGATGGATTTCGTTCTTCTGGCGTAGATCAAAATTTAGTCTGTATGCTGCATATAGTTTGGTTGGCTCTTGGCAACTGATCTTGGTGGTTAGAGCGATGAATCGCAGGGCCGCTGTTCGATTCTTGCCGAACGACCTTTAGTATGCTGTTGTATTTTTCGCATCTGCATGGACAATATCTGTAAAGTGCAGAACTACTAGAAATGTATTTTGACTTCAAATTTTCATTCTTTTAGAGCATTGTCATCCAGAATTCTTTTATACAAAGTTACGAATATTTTTAGCCGGGTATGCAATCTTTACCGAGTTTAAAATTCAGAATTTGGCATCCTCAGAGATGATATCGAAGATTTTTTGCTGATCTTCTTTCGCCATTTTATAGTTGGAAAAACTACAAGAAATTTCCCGAAGGAATGCTTTATGAAGGAGTCAGTTCAAAACCATTGCAGGTGTGTGCTAGGGCTGCACAATATAGCGGACCATTATCATTTATAGACCTGGAGCGAGGGAGATTCGGCGAAATATTGCCCGAAGTGATGATATTTCCCGAGGGGCTTTGCCCTGAGGGAAATATCATCACTGAGGGTAATATTTCGCCGAATCCCCCGAGCGGAGAGTCTATAAATGATATATTATACCGAAAATTAAAAGCCTCAAAGTTGAGAATTAAAAACTTGACACATACCTTCGTGAATACGATGTTTTATTTTCGGATTAACGCAAGTATCGTCGCTTTTCTTTCGAATCACATATCGTTTGGAATATTAATGACAAAGCTCCGGGTTTTAGGTTTGAAAAAGCCCCAGGTTTTAGGTTAAAAATTGAATTATTCATCACTCATTAATACTATTTATGTTTTGTCGGCCATCTTAAGCTTCCTGATTGAACAATTTGAATTTGAGGTATAATATTACTGTATGACCATTGGTCCCAGAAAATGTTTGAGGTTGGCAGAAAAAAATGAAGGGTAAAAAGTCTTAAAGGACATTGGCAATAAAAAATTAGTATGTCTCATTCAAAAGAACTCTTAAAATTATATATTAAACTCAATTACCGATTTGTCATATTTTGCTTAGTTTTCGAAATATTTAGACCGAAATTAATGAGCTTTCCGCCATCTTGGAAAAATTCTTTACCTCATTAACTAGGTTTTGATGACGTCAGGAGTTGGGTTAACCATATAAAACTACTCGAAAATGACCGAATAACAATCCAAAATTGTTTGAAATGTTTTTAATCATTTTAAATTTCTGACAGCAACCAGAAACGAAGTTTTGGACCCATATTGATTGCTTACTCTCAAGATAAAAAATTAGCGTGACCCCTCTCTTGACGTAACATGCATATCGTCAATAATCCAAGATGGCGAACAGCTCACTTTTTTCAGTCGAAATATTTTGAAAACTAAGCAAGATATAAACAATCTGTAATAGAGTTTAATATGTAGTTTTAAGAGTTCTTTCAAATGAACTAAACTAACTTTTTATTGCCAATGTCCTTTAAAGGAAAGAAAGTGAAGAAAGTTAGAGGTTGAATAAGGAAAGGAGAAACAGAAAGAAAGGAAATGAGACCAAAAGACACAACAGTGTACTATACTGCAGTGATTGCTCACAGTCTAGTCAAACTAAATATTTAAAGAATATACAATCTCATGAATTCTCATGCATTAATTTTAAATAGCATTTTGAATTTACTGATTCATAATAATATTAAAATTCGGTCAGTGTACCATTTTAGGGGTCAAAAATTTTTTCGGGACATCCCAAAATTTTCCGGAACCTAACAAAAATTTTGGAAATATCACAAAATTGACCACAAAATTTTACAGAATTTGTCCCATTTATTTTGAAAAAATAAATTGCCCGACTGTTCAGCGAATATTGCCCGACTGCCCAACAAACTGGGCCAGCCGCCTGGTACGCCCATGCGAATCACTGAATGACAATTTTGAGTCTAAGTGCAGACTATCATGGTAAATTATGTACATTAGCGTGTTTAAAAACAGTTAAGTAATATACAGTATGAACAACGACAGCGAGTGTTTCAATTTCGAGTGTTTGGATATCCCGGTGAGATACGAGCTCGAGTTGTTTATATGGCTTCTCAAATGAATCGAGACGTAAGAGAATGTTTTCGTTTGCTGATTTGAATACAATTCTTAACCCAGCATAACGTAATTAGGAATTCTATTCAAGTAATTTTGCATGCGTAATTAAGATATTTGATGAAAACACTAGTGACTTTCATCAAGTTTCACCGGGTTATCCAAATGGCATCTTGTGATCAAATAGGTGATTATCATTTGTTGAATTGCTCATGAATTATTAATGAATTTGAGAAATTAAGTTTAATACACTTTAACCCATTGAGTGCATGTCAGCACTCTCCACTTGACGAGTAAAATCGTCTGGCGTTAGGCAGAGTAAAATGTTAAAGTAGCGCGCATTAGGGTGGATTGCCACTTAAAGGGTTAAGAGGATGCATTGGGTAGTTTGTTTTGTTAACCCATTGAGTGGCAGCACTCTCCACTTGACGAGTAAAATCGTCTGGTTTTAGACAGAGTAAAATGCTAGTAGTAGTAGGACGCATCAAGGTGCATTGCCACTTAAAGGGTTAATAGAGCTTAGTCCTTAGTTTGGCTTTTGGTGGTAGGCTACTATTACCAGCCTAGACTGCCACACAATTCATCCACAAACAAAGACCAACCAATACCCGTGAGATGAAATTAAATTAGGAAAACATGACATTGCCAGTGGTTTACTTACAGAACATTTTTACATTGGCCTTGCGGTCCCAAAGAATGAAATATTTTTTGCAGCCCTGAACTGTGTACTGGACAGCTAGCTTTTTGTCATCCAATAGAACATAGCCATATATAAAAGAATTTCAGCATTCACTCTGATAATTACAGGTTGCCCTGTACCATATCTGTTGTATGACAGCGCTTAGTGAAACTCACCTACCGTGGATAAATAAACCAATTTGCTGAACTAATTTAATGTACATGTCAGTTTTCAGGAGGCAGTGCCGCACAAAGTACAACATTTCAAGTATTTGATGCAGTTCTTGGTATAGTTCATCCGAAAGTAGAAGGTACAGTATGTGTAATTTACAGTAAACGACCACCCAAAGAAATTCCTGATGGCTACCATCATCCATGATCCATGATGTTCATCTACCATCCTGAGAAAGCGTCGAAGTGTTTTTATCTTTTTCATGCAGCTCAGACACAAACCACGACAGTTTATTGTAGAATACTACTTACACTGGACCACCACATTTGAGATATCTTTTTCAGGTAGTTCAGACACAAACCACGGCAGCTTTATATTGTAGAATGTACCTACACTGGACCACCACGTTTGAGATATCTTTTTCAGGTAGTTCAGACACAAACCACGACAGCTTATTGTACAATACTATCCACACTGGACCACCACGTTTGAAATATCTTTTTCAAGTAGTTCAGACACAAACCACGACAGATTATATTTGTAGAATACTACCTACATTGGACCACCACGTTTGAAATATCTTTTTCAGGTAGTTCAGACACAAACCATGACAGCTTATTGTAGAATACTACCTACACTGGACCACCACGTTTGAGATATATTTTTCATGTAGTTCAGACACAAACCACGACAGCTTATTGTAGAATACTACCTACACTGGACCACCACGTTTGAGATATCTTTTTCAGGTAGTTCAGACACAAACCACGACAGCTTATTGTACAATACTACCCACACTGGACCACCACGTTTGAAATATCTTTTTCAAGTAGTTCAGACACAAACCACGACAGATTATATTTGTAGAATACTACCTACTGTACATTGGACCGCCACGTTTGAAATATCTTTTCAGGTAGTTCAGACACAAACCACGACAGCTTATTGCACAATACTACCCACACTGGACCACCACGTTTGAAATATCTTTTTCAAGTAGTTCAGACACAAACCACGACAGATTATATTTGTAGAATACTACCTACATTGGACCACCACGTTTGAGATATCTTTTTCATGTAGTTCAGACACAAACCACGACAGCTTATTGTAGAATACTACCTACACTGAACCACCTCGTTTGAGATATCTTCAGGCATTTCAGACACAAACCAGGACAGCTTATTGTAGAATATTACACTGCATGGCATCACTTTTTATGTATAGTTCACAACAAACGACTCTGCATGAAAATCCTTTAATTCTCTCAATATTTACTTCACATTTAGATGGACAAAAAGCGTTTTTGGAATCAATGCTTGACTACATGCCAAGGTGGCACAGAGAATTTGTTCTGTACGTGAGAAATGGTCCTTCAGTTCGCGACTATGGTTAGTTAGACCGACCGTCGGCTATAAGTATGCCGAAATCCAGTTATCCTTTATAGCCACAAACCGCCGTGGCTATAAGTATGCCGAAATCTGGTATCCTTTATGGGCGCAATTGGAAGGACACAGCTCAACCTGTTCATGTGAGATGAAAGAATTGAAATAAATGCCATATATTAATATGATCATATATTTTAGTACAGAAGAGCAATGATAACAATCTAAAGGAACTCTATAATGATTGCGTGGAAAGTTTAATCCAGTTTCGAAGTTTTCATGTTCAAATCGTCACGAGGTTAGTCCAGCTTTGTCTACAGTTCAGTTCCGGTGGGCGATCCGCTCATCGGTCGGGTTGATCGATCTAAAGGCCGATTTCCATTCAGTGCAAAATGTCGCAGGATAGATTTTTTGCGATCGCTTTCTTTTGAAATGTGTGCAGTTAACTACAGCTAATGAGATTTGTTCCGCTTGACTGTTTGTATTTCAAAAGAAAGCGATCGCAAGAGATCGATCGCGCAACATTTTGCACTGAATGGAAAACCGCCTTAACACGTGTTGACCACTGACGGTATTTTTAGTATACAATACACAAATAAAGAATGTTTATTCGTGCAATGGTAAGAATATTTTCATGAGGTGAAACATGGAATGTTCCATTCAACGAGGCGACAGCCGAGTTGAATGGAACATTCCATCTTTCACCGAATGAAAATATTCGTACCATTGTACGAATAAACATTATTTATTTGTGTATTGTATACTAAAATGCACGAATAAACATTCATTATTTGTTTTATATAATACCAAAGTAGACTAATAGAATAAAGTGCAATGGAATAAAACGTAAGAGTGCAATGGAATAAAACGTATAGTACAATTAATCGATTCATTACGTAATGTTTCTATCAACGCCTCTCGTCAAGAAATGAAAACTACAAAAAGTACTCATAACATATTACATAAATTGATGTGTTTATATAGAACACAATTATACAAACATATATAATTTCAGTTTATGTGCAAAACTTTGCCGACATATATCGGACGAGTTCTGCAATGTATAAAATAAACACATCATCAAGAATGTCAAAAATTTACATGTGTATAATTTCAAGCAAATAATGATCATTGCCACTTCTGATCATTTCCGTTGCGCACTCCTTGTGTACTTTGTGGGAACAAGGTAGGATATGACATCCTGTGAATGCATCCTAGAAAAGAAATAGAAATGTAAAAGTTAATACTTTGGGTGTGCAGGACGTGATTCGACAACGCAGCGCGATTTTCACTGACTGACAACTAATTGATCCTAGTTAAAGTTTTCAAAATATTTAGAAGCGCAAAATAACATTTTGAGTTATGTGGTCTACATATCTTTTAAAATTTCTTTTCATTGCCATTGGCTGCATTATTAACTTTCAAAAACTGAAAAATCGCGCCGCGTTGTCGAATCGCGTCCTGTGTGTCTGGGCCTTGCTTAAATATAAAGCTTTGCTTGCGATAACCACAGCTTGCGATAACCACAGTCACTGAAAAAGAATGAACCACATTCTATTTACCAAATATTTTGGCGATATGGTTCGTTTTAGACGAGAAATTTCAAGCTAGTTCTGTATAAAGATGAAATCGAAAATTCGGCCAAGAGAATCCACACATTCTTTCCTAATTATAGAACCTCAAATTGATACATTTCTCTTTCTGCCACAACCAAATACCAAGTGTGGCACAGAGAAAATGTTTCCGATATAGTGGGGTTACAATCTTGAACAAGTAAGAAACAGCGAATCTTTAAATTCTTTCAATAGAAATATTTCCTCTGTTAGTCTGACGAATTAGCTATTTGACTACTGTACCATTTGTTTTGTAATATGTATTTTGTATTCGTAGATCTTAATATTCTTAGTGATTTTGTACTTTATATATCTTTGTAACATAATTTATCTCCCCACTTGGAAAGCAGCTCCGGTTGAAGTGGCCAGCGTAGTCAAATAAAGTGTTATCCTATCCTATACATTACCTCAGAACAGGTGCAGCATTTATTATGTACAGAGCTAGGAGCTTGCATGATTTCCACGAAGGTGAACATCCAAACAAGCACCATACAAACTGAAATAAAAACATTATAACAAACTCAAAGTGATCGTATTAATATTGAAATTTTTGAAATTTGATCTTGGTCGAGGAACTAGAGGTTCGAAACTTAAGCCCGCCGCACACGAGCGCACTTGTCGCGCGTACTTTTTATTCGTGACAAGTTGGATCGACAAAATTTCCTCGTGTGCGGGCAACATTTACGGCATTTTCGTCATTCGTGACATGTAAACCAAATATCAAACATG